GGAAATGAGGGAGAACAGCACCTGGTTCTTCCCACCCCAGGACTAGGAACAAAAACTAGAGGGTCCTTACAGCCTGCAGCCCCAGGGTGAGATTTCAGCAGTAAGCTGGGGTCTGTAGCTGTCTGGGCCATCCTTCCATAGATTCAAGCAATGTTTGAGCCTCTTATCTAAAACCCAGAAACAAACCCTACGGGAAATCCTTACAGCCCTTAGAAACCCATCCTCTCCAGCCAGAAACCACACATACAGCCCCGTTGGCTCTCTTCTAGGATATACATTGTCATTTTCCCCTAATAGGATGCTTGAGGGCATTTCCAGATATTCTTACAGGTGTTGGGGTGGGGTGGGTAATATCACCCCCAAAGGGGCAAAAATTTGTTAGTTGGGGAAAAATGTCTTAGCTCATACAATGGTTTGTGGCCTTCTAAAAGGGCATACTCTACAAACAGCTCTACGGTGCATCTGGGTTATTAAAATGCCCTGGGAAGGCAATGATTTTAAAAATGTCTCAAGACTCCTTAAGGGAGAAATAATGAGAACACGGTGAAAAAGTTACCTGTGAAAGTTGTAGACAGATCTTGCATGAAGCGCGCCAGGTTATGAAATACCATTCCATATCACTTTCGAGAGCCCTCTGCAAAGAATGGGCAGAGAGAATGCGTCCTTCAGGATCAAGGCACAGGGCTTCTGTTCCACTCACGAAGAGAGGAGAAAGTGGTAAGGACTGGGCAGGGGTTCCTTAATGGGCTGCCTAAAGAGCTAAGGCCCCTTAGTCTAGGGCCTGCAGCCCAAAGCCTTGCTCTAGCCCTAAAGCCCTGCCTCCCAGGTAACGTGTCCCCCCTCACACCTCTGATGACACAAGACTCCTTTTAAATCAGATAGTTGACTCCAAAACCTTTTACGGTAATTAAGAGAGAAGAGTGCAAGAGGCATAGGGCAACCTGACACCTGTTTAAGCAAAATATTCTGCCTTGAGTTAGATGTGGACAGTGACAGACATTCCTAGACAGGTCAAAAACACCACTGCCCGTGTTGGCGGCCACCTTCCATTGTGGGCAGCTGTACAGATTCTTGCTGTACAGATAAGTACCCAAGGAAATGTTCAAAGAGGATAAGGAAAGCAAAAGCAACCACTTGGGGCTCTTGTAGCTCTGGATTTTCCAAGAGCTTCCTTTTGTTCTACAAATTGAAAAAAACAAAAACTACTGGTGTTTAAATTTTTTCCACAGGACTGGGATGTGATGATTGGGATTTAGGGCTTTCTGATTTTCAGAATCCTATAGCCAGTTTCTGTCAAGCTCCATAACATCGTCACCTCTTGAGGACAACTGACTGAAGCGCCTCCAAAAAGAGAGAAAGATGGCACCTGACATGGAAACAAGGCTGAAGGTTTCCATCATCTGGGTATCAACCTGGCTTGATTCCGTATCAGTCTGTTCTGACCACCCCACAGCACCAAATCTGCCTGTACTACACATGCACTGGGTCCACAAAGTCAGGAGATGTAGGGTACACTTTTTTTTTTTTTGAGTCAGTGTCTTGCTTTGTTGCCTAGGTTAGAGTGCAGTTGTTGGTATTATCATAGCTCACTGCAGCCTCAAACTCCTGGGCTCCAGTAGGAACGCACCTTTCTTGGCCTCCCACAGGCACGTACCACTATACCTGCCTAATCAAAACACATTTTTTTGTGAGAAGAGGTCTCCCTATGTTGCCCAGACTGGTTGCAAACTCCTGGCCTCAAATGATCTTACTACCTTGGCCTCCCAAAGTGCTGGGATTACAGGCATGGGACACCATGCTCCTCCAGGATAAATGTCTTAAATGTTAATTACATTTTCAAATAATATGCCCGATATATTTTCACGTGAAGCACACTAAAAGGTTTAACTGTTAATCTGAAGTAGCATAATGTATACACCATCAAGTGTCCCAAAAGTTTGGAAACCAGAAAAAATGTATTTGTTGTACCTTTTTTTCCTATAGATTAATGAGGGATCTATAACTTAAACTTTAGAGTTACATCACCTAAAAGGAGATCTGATCTAGGGCTTGAGAGAAACAAATTGAACATATTATTAGAAAATGTAAACCAACACACTGCTTAAAAATAAATTTATACTAGATTTTTTGATTTTAAAGATACCTCTGTATATTACATACAAACTATAGGATCTATCATTTCTCAGAGGCATACCATATGTGGAATCCTATTGATACATGATGTCTTTGCACCAGAATCTGAGTCGAAGATCTGTATCCCTCTCTTACGAATTAAGAAAATGAGGCTCAAGCTAAGTAGAGGTTGAAAACTTAAATGCCAACAGAGACCACTTAAGTGGTTAAAATAAGGGGTACTTCTCCATCTAACGAATGATCTGTTCAAGCCAATTGTTGCTAGGCGGGGATTCGGGCACAGTATTGCCAGATCTTTTGATTTTTCCAGAGAAGCCAGAAATCTGGATTCATGCCATAATCGACTGATTTTTAGATGTTGGTTAACTAATTAAATTTTTATAAACCGTGTGTTGGCCAAGCCAAACAAATCTGCAAAGCAAATTCAGCCGCAGGCCTCTAGTTTCCAAACTCTGAATTAAAGTAACTTGTTTTTGAGTCTCAAACTAGACAGCAAGGGGACAAATCAGAACCAAGCTCAGTGGGCCTCCACTGTGTCTCTTCTCCTGAGACACTACTCAAGTAGCTGCGTTGAAGTGAATGAAAATTTCTGTAAATGATTCAACTTCTAAAGCTGGTTTAGAGGTCGTTTATCCAAGTGGCAGCTGCATGAGGCTCTATTAGGAAGGGAGCACGCAGGAGGGATTTGAGGGAATGTTGAGCAGAGCTGAGCAAGGGGGTGTGGCAGCGATTTTAGCTCTTAAAATCTTCACAGAATGCAAACATTCCACATTTGATCTCAGGCCACTTTCTGGATTTAACATTGGCAGAAAAAAAGAAAACGGAGAAGCTCCTTACCCCACTCCAAAGTGAATCTAACTTGAAGTTGTATCTGAAACTTCTGAACACATGAGATCTCTGACAAGCCTCACTGAGAGCCTCCTTAACACACACCTCCTCTAGCAGGCGTGTGCTTCTGAGGATACTAACACGAGCTGAGGTTTTTGTTCAACCGTGCCCTGGGAGTACAGAGAGACACCTGCAATCACCGTATCACTAGTTTAAAAGGCTGTAGTATTTAAAACTGGATGAACATCTCACTTCATTTTCCACTCCTGACTGTGAAAAAGGTTCTCCTGAAACAGCTGAGCCGAATGACTTGCCTTATGGAGAACTGAAGAGCAGCACGCATGCACGCACACATAAGCAGCCATTTCTGTAAATGCCTGAGAAATCACTCAGCTGAATGGCCCAGAATGCTGGAAATCCCATTCCTGAGTCCCACAGACTCAGGTGGCTCATAGAGGCACTGTGGGCCTCCCCAGCTGCACAACCCGGCAGCTCCCTGAAGGAGAAAATGCCTTTGCTCAAGGTGGCAGTGGGTGTCGATGGGAACAACTGAACTCCGGGAACATGGCTGACACAGCCAGGCCCGCCCAACAGCTGTTGGTGAGTAACACCCTCTGGTTAATACACCCCTACTTCACCCCCAGAGCCCTGATAAAGGTCACATCCTCCAATGCAGGCACACGCCTTTCAACAACCTCATGGATACAAACTTTAAAATGTGCTGTTTTGTGGCAACCTAGATGAGGACTCCAAACAGAACCTGATTTTGCATTAATACGGAGGAAACTGTTTTGTTCCAGTGCCAGCAGCCATCTCCACAAGCACCAGATTCCCAAGGAAATAGAGGCAGTTATGTGGCCTTTCCCTTAAAAAGCAAAGTAAAAGAAAAAACTCCAATCAAGTTATCATTTTAAAACCACAGGCCCGGGGCTTCATCTTAAAAGTATCAAAAGTATTATACCAAAGAAACTATAATACTTTTCCAATTAATTCCAGCAACATCTTCTTGAACATGGTGGCAAAAGACACAGAGAAAAAGGTTATCTGTGAGGACCAAGCCCCCACCTACCTTATCTGGATAGCATTTCTAAAAACCATTCCAAAGATGGTTAGACAGCATGTTCCAATGTGAATGCTCTCCAACTTTTACTGTGCATGTTAAACAAAACAGAATTGACTGACCAAGGTCCCTGGAAGCCTCCAAAGCCCATTTTATACCGCAGTTGTCTTTCTGGCCACATACATTGGGACTCTTCCCCTAGGCCTCCAGAACCGCCCAACCCTCATTACTGAGCCTTGACCTCCGGTAAGGACCACACCTCCCTGCTGCTCGCCTGACACAGGGGTGGAGAGTGAGACCGAAGTCACATGGACAAAAAAAAAAAAAAAAAAAAAAAATCAGGTCCGAAATCTCCCTCTTTGGAAAAGCTAACTAGTTGTGAGGTTGCCCACCATAACTTGGTCAAACTCCTGCTGCTTGAAGCAGTGTTATTTTAAACCTCTCAGGGGACTCTTGGCCAAATTTAAAACCACCTTGGCAAGCCCTTTTGAAAACTAGCAGGCATCCAGCTAAATGAGTCCTTAGTCATCCCTAAAAGGCTCGAAGTAAAGTGCGCCGCTTCCCCCCTAGGTTTCGGCCACCTCTCTGCAACCCGACAAGGGAATTAAATAGAAGATACGCCATCTGACTCCCCCTGTCAGAGTCTTCCCAGGTGGGGAGGCCCCACCGCCGCGGCGTGCGGGAGTCCCGGGGGCGGGGCGGGACAGGGGAGGGGCGGCCACCGCTGTCCGCGAAGCCACGCACAGCACTAGCTCTGCTCACCACTTTAAAGCTCCCCATGGCTCCCCAAAGCTGGGGACAATTAAGGAGAGTGCGCTTTCCGCCTCCGCAGAGTTAAATTATTTAAAGAGTTAAAAAGCATCTCATCCAAGACGTTTGCACCCTTTCGGCCCAGCTTGGTGTCCTTAACGCCCAGGAACACTGACCGGCCAAAGGTTAACTAACCACAGAGCTCCAGGGGGAGGGCGACGCCGCTAACCTGTATGCACTCTGTAATGGGCTTTAAGATGGGAGGATTTTCCATAGACTTTCCCACAGCCACTGTAGGGGCACTTGTGCCTCTTTTCGGAGGCGTGTTTCCCCTTCGCAGCCACTCCAGGGTGGAGGAGGGAGAGCGGGCTGGGCGCGCTGCCAGGATCCTGTCTCTCCTCCGGGCTGTGGGAAGGACTCGACCCAGATTCGGTGGTCACGTCGCTGTCGGATCCCATATCCTCATCTGGGCTCTCCAGACTGTCGCTGCACACCGAGGGGGTCTGGATGGGTCGGTACTTGTTCAGGTCCAACAAGCTCTTGGCGATGGTGACCAGTGTGCAGTAATCCTTCCAGGTGTCCCCCGGGTCACCGTGCTCCTTGGTCACCTCGCGCTCAGGTAGTCGCAGCCGTTCGGCGTCCGGAGCGCCCCCATGCTCCGGTACCGCAGCGCGGTTAGAAATGGAAACCAGACACTGGGCAGCCACGAAGTCCATGTAGGCGGCCGCGGACATGGTGCGGGCGACAGCAGCCCCGGCGGCGCGGCCAAACTTGGCGGTGGCTGCGGAGGTTCGGCTAGCCCTGCCCCGGCCTCGGACGACAAGCGCGGCGCGGCGCGGCACGGCGCGGCGGCCAAGGGGGCGGGGGCGTGGGGCGCTTCCTACTCGCGGGAGCGCCGAGGCGACCTCAGCCCCTCATCTTTACGTAACCGGCAGCGCCTCCGCACGCAGCATCCACCGCCCCGGGCTCCGCCGCGCCGCCGCCTCTCGCCGCCGCCCCTGCCCCGCGCGGGCCGCGATTCCCCGACGGACGCGCCGGGCCCCTCAGAGCAGTCTCCCTTGGAAAGATGCCACACGTGGCGGTCGCAAGTTTATTCGACTGAAAACGCCCCCGAGGCGCTGGGAGAGGAAACTGCAAGAGGTACACGCCCTCTGTCGTCTCTTTCCGTCGAGCCGAAGCCTTAGGACGTTTACCCCACCACTGCGACGTGGGTGGCAAGGGCCGCGCGGGGCGCCGGGTCTAAGAGACACTTTTTCCCGAGTCCACGGACGGCTCCTGAGCCCCAGCTCCTACCGGTCCGCACCGTTCCGGCATTCTCTTGCTCAGTAACAATTTCGCAGAATCCCATCACGTCACAAACCAAACCCCCTCCAATTGGCCAGTGGGGAGGGTGATTCAACTCTGTTTACTTTCTCCCCCTGCCAGTCAGAACGGCCCTTCCGTGGAGAGGTGCGTCTAGAACTGAGGCGCGCGGCCAATCCGACTGTTCCGTTTCACTGCCTCGTGCTACCCCTACAGCCTTGAACGCTGACAGTTAAAAGGGTAACAGCCGGGAGGCAGGAAAGGGACAGCTCTCATCCCCGGGAGTGCCTCTCGGTCAGGCAGTCGGCCCAGGCCTCCCGGCTTACGCCCCAGCTCGAGGCGTGTTGGGACACGTCTTTCCTAGTCAGTTGCGCTCCTTCCTATGGCAAAAAGGAACTTCAGCTTGGGTTTTCCAGCTTGCAAACAGTTAAGTGACTTCCTGCAAACGCTACAGTCCCAGCAACCAGCCTTCCAATCAAAAGTAAGTTGGTTGATGTCACTGGCATCGGCTCGGCCAATCAGAAGCGCGTTCCGAAAGCAAGCTCTCGGCACTTGTAAACGCAGGGAGCTGTAGTGAAACTGGACACATACATCTTGGTATTTTGTGTTGATGGAGGTAAACTTGAGATATGGATGGATGGGAGGACAGGCATGATGAATAAATGCAGTGTAAATTTATAATCTTTTAAAAACCTTTAATACGTCAGGAAAATTTGTCAAAAAAACCCCACCACAAATGAGAAAGTGTCAACTAATTTTGTTGCCGTTGTTGTTTTAGGACGCAGCATACTTTGGGGGTAGGTGTTTAAAAACTCTTTCATCTACTAGATTAACTATGACCAATTAATCTTACAAATGCAGAGCTAACAAAAGTTCTGGTTTTAAAGCACAATCTTTTTACTGTCCCCATTCTTACATGGAAACATTCCATCTTTGCCTTTGCCATACCTCTTAATTCTTCTACTTCCCTGGCAAACTATTTTAAATTTTTTGAAGCTATTTTAACCACCTTTGCATACATTGGAACAAAAACCATTTATTTGTATAACTTTTGAAAAAACCCCTCCTTAGCTCATTTTCTTTCCAGAGCCCTTGCATGGTCTTTAGGGAACATTTCTCTAACTCCACGAATGTGGAGCCTGAGACACAGAGAAGTGACTTACCTACTTTATTATTAGGTAGTCACAGAACCCAATAGAAACCATAAGTCTCTTGATTTCTCTTTGTGCTTTACAACAACGGAGACCTTTGGTTTTGTGAAATATTAACTGTGCTAAACAGATTCTTAAGAGCTGGAACCAGACAGAGATCCTTAACCATTGAATATTATGGCATTACTTGATCAACAATTAGTATGGGTCTTGGAGTCTGATTAACTCACTTTGCCTCTCCTGAATGAACCGATGGGGTTGTCTTCCATCTTGATAGCTGAGAAAAGAATGTAGGGCTAGTGTCTCTTGCAGGAAGCATACTGTCAGCACAATTAATTAAAAATACATTCACTTTCCTGAGTGTGAGAGATACCTTCTTCTGTGTGATTGAGTGATAGCGAACCCTGACTCCTACTGGCTGTTAACCTTTAAAGGAAAGTTACCCCAGGTTCCTATTTTCCAAGGGAAGGGACCCAAATTAACTCTCCCAATTTTAAGTCTAGGGATGTTTATTTTGACTTTATTTTTAAAGAAAGTAGTACAGGGGAGATATTGCAGTAGGTGACTGTATAGGGAAGAAAGGTATAGAAAGGTGATGCTGGTCAACAAAGAATATCATCACCATCAGCATCATTATCTCTGCCCTTTTTTGTGAAGGGCTTACTCTGTGCCAGGCCCTGTACTCAGCACCCTGTAAGCATCCTTACACCAACCTTGTAAGGTTAGCATATCATAGCATGTAAAAGTGAAGCCAGTCTTGGAGTTCTTGCATTTTAATCCCCTTAATTTTAGAAAAGAATTCACTGAAGCCCAGGGGAGTTTGCCTACTTCCTGATTTTTCTGGGACAAATTCTGTCCCCTAGGATACATGATCACTTAGAAATTGTACCTTTGCTTACCTCTTTAAGGCCCAGCACAAACACTAGTGGGATTTTGCCAGGATCCCTATGATCATGGCCCATACAACCTCTCAGACTTACATATTGCAAGATAAAATGGACTACTTAGGCCCAGGCATCTATAGATAGCCGTAGGGTTAACATCAGATTATTCCAAAAAAAGAAGAAAAGTTCATATCTTCCCTCTAAAATGACATAATCCATGAATTTGAAAATATCAATCACCTTAGGTTTTTCTTAAAAAATATAAATTTTTCCTCCTTTGCTACTTGCCCTTTTCCCCCTTTAATTTATTTTCTTTCTTTTTTTAAATTTGAGACAGAATCTTACTCTGTCACCCTGGATAGAGTGTCATCACATCATAGCTTATAGCTACCTCAAACTCCTGGGCTCAAAGTGATCCTCCTGCCTCAGCCTCCTGAGTAGCTGGGACCACAGGCACTTGCCACAATACCTGGCTATTTTTTTAGTAGAGATGGGGTCTCGCCCTTGCTCAGGCTGGTGCTTGAAGCCCAAGCAATCCATCCTCCTTGGCCTCCCAGAATGCTAGGATTACAGGTGTGAGCCATTGCCCCTGGCTAACCTTTAATTTCATTTTGTTTGGACTAGACATAAACTCTGAACTCTTCCAATTCACTCATTTCAGAGTTATAAAATAAAGTAACAAGAGAAAATTGAGATTGCATCCACATGAATTTCTCTTTTATACGTTTTACAAATATGACTCCTGCTTGAGTTGATTTAGAATATCTTTAAAGCCCAGCCACTCGGGGGTGGTACAATGCTCTTCCTTTTCCTCCTTTTCTATGCCTTCATTCTCCAGGTATTTATGTTCCTGGCAATGAGCAAGGCATGGAGAAACACAAAATGAAAAGTCAGAGGCCTTGTGTTAAAACACAAATATGTTTGTGTGTGTGTGTATAAGATATATTGCCACAAATAATTTCTAGTCAGGATTTTTTTCCTGTATTTTCAACAATGAAATCTTCTTGCTGTGTGGGGACGTATGTTAGAATAGTTTTTTGTTTTTTGTTTTTTTTTTAGACAGAGCCTCAAGCTTTCCCCCTGGGTAGAGTACTGTAGCATCACAGCTCACAGCAACCTCCAACTCCTGGGCTCAAGCGAGTCTCTTGCCTCAGCCTCCCAAGTAGCTGGGACCACAGGTGCCTGCCACAACACCCGGCTATTTTTTGGTTGCAGCTGTCATTGTTGTTTGGCGGGCCCTGGCTGGATTCGAACCCGCCACCTTAGGTGTACATGGCTGGCGCCTTAGCCACTTGAGCCACAGGCACCGAGCCGTTAGAATAGTTTTATGATTAAAACCAGCTTATGCTGTTTGCCAGCATGTGGTTGTCTCAGTTAAAGTATGGCAAAATAAATTGGCCCAAATTAATATGAATCATTCCTAATTAAAATAAATAATTTACCACCAAAGTGTGTATTATGCCACATAAATGTAAGAGATCTATTTTCCCCAAGTTAGTCTTTTTAAGTACACATTTTGAATATGTAAGGAGCAATGAAAATTTAGACTCCAACTTCCAGCTTATATATTCTCTTTAAATTCTGCCTAAGCCTTTGCTTTAAAATCCAAGTTCTCAAAACAATGGCTAATGGGCCTGTAGTCAGAACATAAAAACCTTGTTTTCTGTGTATTCTAATTACTGTGTTATGGGGGGGGGGTCACCTCTAATGAGAGGGAGTGCCTACAGTGAGCTGTTTCTCTCCAGGAGTTAGTTGTAGGCTAGGGTGGGGACAAGGCCTCTATCTGCAGGAGCTGTGCGACCTCAGGCAACCTCTGAGAGTATTTCCTTATCTGTAAATCGGTGGGATTAGATTAACATGTGTCTATAGTCTCCTCCAAACTCCAACTCTAAAGGGATCTCAAAAAAAAAAAAAAAACCTACAAAAAAAAACTGGGGCAAGACTTAGGTTTTTAAAATACCACCTCATCTGCTATGCACCAACAAACACTGCTCTTTATGGCACTGAAGGTCAGCATACCTTAAACCAAACATGTAATGAGATAGCAGGCACAAATAAAAATTTGTTCCAAATCTCTTCTTCACTTCACGGTCTTGTTTTTTCTTCCTTCAAGCTGGAAGTGGCCTGGAGGCTATAAGAATCTATTCTTTTTCCCAGGTAAATTTTCCACCCCGGCCCGAAATAGGGTACTTCCTGGTGAATGCTGCAGATTTCTAGGCTCCTCCCCTGAAGATACTTCTCTGACCTGAGCCCAAGACAGGGTTTCCCCACCTTGCGGGGTGAAGCTGATCACCTGGCGCTCAAGTTAGCATACAGATTGCCGTGCCTTGTCACTACCCAAGCCCTGGGGAAGTTCAGGCTAAAATCACACACTGTAGGTATTGGGTTCTGCCAATTCTGGCTTTTCTCACTCTTTCCTGCTGGGAGGCGTGGACCATGCCGGGCAGAACTGCCAGCCTCCAAGCGGGAAGGAAGGAGGAGAACAGATGGCCCGCTGGGGGTAGGAGATCACGTGTCAGACCTCGCTCTGGGCTGGATCCAGCCTTCTCCCTTTCAGGGCGCAGGCCCTTCGGTTCAGCTACCCCATGCAGGCACAGGGACGTATTCGGGGTGGGAAATCCGTGCTGATTTTAATGAAAGCAGGGGAATTAGGGAAGGTGGAAAGCCTGAGGGAGAATCAGGGCTAAAGGGATCTGGCTTCCAACAATGGCATTGTTCTTGGATTTGAAATCCAATCAGGTTTAAAGTCGGAGCTGGTGGGACGCCCGTGGCCATAAACGCAGTTAACACTCATGGGGCTGGAGAGGGGAGCCCAGGAAGGCGCGAAAACTTGCCCGACGCCCTACTTTGCTCCCGCCCCACTTAGCAGCCTTTCGCAAAACTCCAGCCTTCTCCTTAGCAGAGCAGAAAGGCCACCCGTTCATGCATATGCAGGAGGATAAGTTTAGCTCGTAGCCCCCCGCGCGGCGCTGGGTGAATCACCAGCGCTCGGGGGCGGGCGCTCGGCTGCGGCCGCGGAGTGGCGGGCGACTCAGCCATTTGCGGGCCGCGCGCTCGGGCCTGGCATCGCCCTTTTAAAAAGTCTTCCGCAGGCGGCCGCCGCCGCAGCAGCCTGAGGAGGCGAGTTCATCTGAGGACAGTCCCAGTTCTCAGAAATCCTTTCCCTGCTGGAACATCCAGCTCCCTTTACTGCAGTTGAACAAACTGCCCTAGATTGGGGGATGAGGGACCCGCCCCAAACTCGTGCAAGGAGCTCCGGGCGCGGAGCGCCCGCGCCCACGTGAGCTAACCTTGAAATTAGCCCCTGCTCCCGGAGGGAGGCGGAGAGGGCGGGAATGGGTGGCAGTGGGCGGGGGCCGGTTAGCCCACTCGGCCCCAGCTCTGAGTTTGCGCCCTCCGCGTGCACGTACCGCCCCCTCCACCCTGTTTCATAACTCTAGCGGTGTTACTTTTTTTTTTTTTTTTATCTCCCGGGTAAGATGGGTGTAGGCTGTGTGTTGGGGGAGAGGACAGGCCACCTTCCATCCCCCACGCCCTCGAGTAAGAGGAAAACCTGCCCTGCGATCCCCCTGGAAACACTGCGGAGTAGGGTGTAGAGATGACATCAGCTTCTAAACATAGTCCGCACCGCACCGCACCCCAACTCTGAGCGCTGCGAGCAGGGCACCAGGGTGGGGAGGGAGTGGGGGAGGCGGGTGCCGCTGTCCCCGGGCGGGGCGGGGCGGGCTGGCCGAGCTGTGCTCGAGGAGATGACTTTGCAGGAATTGTGCTCTCCGAGTTTGCAGGCAAATCTCTCCTGCGATGGTCCGGCCACGGGGTTAGGAAGCATTCCTGCCATTCCACTCTCTCGACTACCCCACAGGAGCCACGCACACACGCGCACACGCACACTTGGATCGAATGTGCCTTTATTTATAGACCAACCCATTCCTAGCGTAGCGCCCAGGTTCTGTCAGGTCCTTGGAGCCCCCGCGCTCTCCAGCCCTGAGCCGGCCTCCGGGCTAAGCCCTCGATGGGGTCAGTGCGGCCCTCCCGGTGAGTCAGATGGGCTATGTTTCCTGTGGTTGTTGTGGAACAGTTTGTCCTTTTTACTCACCCCCCCGCCCCGTCTCCACCCCCTTGGTAAATATAGCGCTCACGTTTCATCAT